AAAAAAAAGACAATGTAGTGAAGCAATTAAATAGACAATACAAATACACATACATACACTTTTGTATTTTCGCTTGTTATTATTATCTTCAATTTCCGTTTCTTTTTCATCATTTTGGTGGTCAATGTTTACTTTTCCATTGGAGCCATAAACACAAGAAATTTTTTTTCTTTTAAGCTCAGTGGTTAATTAAGATAAAGTCATTTGATGAAAGATAACACAATGATGTATATATTTTTTATTATGTTGTCTCTCTCTACGCTGTCAAACCCATGTATTGTTACTACTATTACTACTGACCTACCATGACTACCACTACCCCCTCAACTCAACATTACCACCTCTTAGTGGTTAAATGCCTCAAACGTCTCAATTGTTGAAAGACATACAGTTAAACGTAAGTAGTCCAGACAATTGACTTAATCTTAATAGAAGAATGAAATCAGAAAGTTGTATATGTCTGTTCACAATGAAGACGGGACAATTGGGGTTAGTGGTGATAAAATGAATTATATGTGTTTAGTAGAATGATATTTAACAGTGATAAATGGAAACAAGTTTAAACTGGATTTACACAGTTTTGATTAATTTAGATGAGAATACATGAGTATTTGTGTGTGTGTGTGTACGTATTGTACAAACACAGATATAGATATTTGTATTATCATTTTGATCAGGACCGTTTGTCATAATAATAAATTAAGACATACAGTTATGATTAACTTTCACATCTCATTTGTTTTCGCTCACTCTTTTGATGATGATGCTTTCTGATCGAATATTGGAAATGAACGGAAGATGAATAAGTTCATAATTAATAATAATAATAAACGAATATTCATCGAGTTCATCACTCAACATGTACATAAATAGAATTATTGAAAACAATGAAAAAACAAAACAAAGAAACATGAACAATAAAGAACTAACTGTCACAATCATACTTTCTGTCTGGCCTCATGAAAAATCTAGTAATAACAATATATTGAGATCTAGAAATAAACCATATCAAACAACTAGTAAAAACCTGGGCATGTACTAGGTACATCCTAGATCTCGCTCTTGACAGTTATACTCAGGATCATCTGTCTTGTATATGAATGCTTAATCTTTTCGACCAATGAATAAACATTCAATGGTGTAAAGGTTTGATCAAAATCATTTTGTAATGTTGTTTGAGGTGGATAATTGTCTCATACAAGAAGCGGTACTTTCAGAAGACAATGAAAGTTGGTGGCACAGTATTGCGGGTTGATTGAAGTTAGAGTTAGATTTGATTTTTACGATGATTATATTGTAAAAAGTGGATATCATAGCCTTAAACTGGGTTGGTAAATATGGAGAGTTGGAAAAACCTGATTTCAAGTCAGTGCTATGCAGGATCCTCTGAGGAATAATGGTGTATAAACTTATTTCCATTTACCAAACACAATAACACAATAGCCCTTGACGTTAATCCACTACCTTGTAGATTAGACGTTGAAGTCAAATGCTTAGAGAGTGACCATTCAATACAACTGTTTACGTGAATTCGGACATTCCTCCACATAAATAAGATAATGAACAAAGATTTTAAAAAATTTATCTTAGTTGACAGAAAGCTATCTTACACTGATTTTCAGTCATCTGAATTCTTCAAAAATTGGTTACTGTTATCATGTCTATATCCTAACCAAGAAGCCTATATACCTCCCGATATGATTTAGTTGACTGATTACTAATTCTGTAGATAGTCATTCTATCTTGTTCTGACTGTTATAGCCTTTTTCCGAAATATTATTATGCTAATCACCATTAGATGAACGTGTAGTTGGTACTGCAGTATGTGTGTATTTATCATATTTGCTTAACCTCAGCAAGATAGTTCAATCATCTATTTTACAAATCTCTATTATTAAATGGTTGAATCTCAAACATGCTGAAGATTAGTGCATAGAAATTTACTACCTAGTATTTTCATTGTTGGTTAAAACGATAAATCTTTCATCTAATGCCAAAGGTAGTCAACCTTTAATAGTTATAAACTGTAAATGGGTTTACTAAATTGATTAACTATTTCCCAATACTTATTATCTACACAAGATACTCAATGTCTGTTAACCGGAAAACCATTAGCAGTGGCCTACTATGGGAGAGAACAAACCAGCTTCCAGCTGAAGAGGAAATCAGCAAAAGAAGATGGAAATGGATAAGCCATACATTACAGAAATCATCAAACAGCATCACGAGTCAATCCCTAACTTGGAATGCTGAGGGGAAACGGCAAAGTGAAAGACCAAAGAACACACTGCGTCGAGAATGAAAGTAAACATCAAAAGAATGAATAGCGACTGGAAAGAACTGGAAATGATTGTTCTGGAGGAATTTGGATGGTGAGTTCTGGTGGACGACTGATGCTCCTCCACCAGAGGGGGATAACAGGCCTAAGTAAGTAAGTAAATTAAGTATTGATACAAATCAGTTTAGAAGTAACAGTTTGCACTAAGGAGAGAGAAATACTTATTAGACATGATTCCATTGTTATCAAAAGTGCTAAGTAGACATTTAAATTTTGTCAAAGATTTCACTAAATAGAAGTATGTAAAATACTTTATGTAGACCGGCGGACTGATCCCTGATAATTTGGATGGTGAAACGATCACCTATAAGAAGCATATATATATATATATATATATATATATATATATATATATGTATAACGGACGGAATCTAATAAGAATAAGGAAAGTTAACATACTTGACGAATATGACTTTACATAGTTGGATCCAGTGATGATTTACCCTATCTTCTGAATCTACCAGTAGATACGCAAATTAGTGGAATATGATGTCACAAGAACTCATCATCAACAAGAGTGAATGATACGATCATATATAGACCACCAGTGAAAACCTGGAAGCACTGGACGACTGTCTTGTCCTAGAATGGAACTCCTCAGCAGTGTGCATCCACGATCCTGCACGTGAGATTCGAGCCCAGGACCTTCGGTGAGGTGTGCGAGAAATATTTCTGAACTCCTCAACATGTGAACAAAAAATATAGTGTATTAGGTATGATATTACTTGCTTACATATATATTTTAATATCATTAGTATTATGACTGAATAGTTTTTCAATGAACTTTTCAACATTGAATTGTTGTTTTGAGTGGGTAAAGAATGGAGAAAGTGTTACTCCAAGATTTTGAAGTATGAATAAGATTCACATCTGTATTCTTAATCTTAAGTTTAACCAGTAAAATTTCATATTTTGTGTTATTGGAAAGGTTACTTTGATGTAGTTCTGATTTCACAGTTTATATCAAGAACTAGTGTTAGATAGACAACCAATAACGAATTGGAAAGTTGTTTCATGGATGATAAAAAGATTGAACCGAGGAATTTCAAGTCTTATGAAGATCGCCTAATCTCTAAATCACTGAGTTGACATTTAGTGGGTTACATGTCTGAATTTCATCAACTATACATTTAACAAAGTCAGTCATCTTCGAATGGTTGAACTCCACTGATCATGGGTCTGCGTAGGGACACTTAAGAAAGACTTACTCATTCCATACATATAATTCTAACTAACTTTTTTTTCATATTTATTTTAGTCGTATATAGTTTGTAAGTTATTTACTAAAAATATTTTCTTACTTTGTTTCCTTTTATTTTTATATGGCTAGTGAGTGGTAGATGTTAAAATATTAATTTTCCCTATCATTGAGGATTCTACATCAGTAAGGACTTATCAGGTCCTGAGAATATCAATAAAGACAAAAACAAGTTTTTTTTAATTGATTGCATATTTTTCTGGTTAGCGTTTTTTTTAGCGAGTTGGTTTTCTACGGGATGGGGACGCTAACCCCATGCCCAACCCTCCTGCTTTATCCGGGCTTGGGACCGGCAGTAGCCCACGGAGGGACTCCAGGCGGAGTTAATTGATTGCATAAACGAGTTATATTCTATTCAATCGATTATTCACGACTTTAGATTTCTAAACAAAGATGAATGGTGGCTAGCAGTGGAATCTAGGATACGCATTTCTTTCTATTTGGAACTGGTCAGCTGGGTGTACCTGTATCTCAAAGTTGATGTTCATTTTGGTATTAGAATCCAGTACCGTTCTTATCAAACGCCATCACATTATCCACTTAACTACTGAGTCTTGATAGTCATTTGCTTGTGCAATGAGGTGAAGTTTAAATTCATTTAGTATTTGTAGGTATCATTACCAAAGTTTGACCTAATAATCTCAAATAAATTATTCTCTGAAGAAGTGGCTTGCATTAAGTTATGAAACGTTAAAAAATCTAATGTTTCTACTCATTGGAATATCTACAAATATGTTATTTATTTATCACTTGATATTGTTTTACTTGAATCTTTCCACTATTGTTCAAGATTGTCAGTGAATTTTGTTGAAATCATGAGTCAATTGAATCTAGACCACAATGGGAAACATGGAAGCACTGAACGACCGTTTCGTCTTAGTATGGAACCCCTCAGATGTGCGCACCCACATTCCGCCCCCCACGGGTTTCGAACCCAGGACCTATCAGTCTCGCGCACGAGCGCCTAACCATTACACCACTGAGCGAAACGGCCGTCCAGTGCTTCCAGGTTTTCCATGGTGATCTAGCTTCAATTGACTATGATTTCAACTATTGAAATTACTAAAAATCTTCACAAAACCCTTTCTGATAGTGAATTTGTGACATCAATTTTATTGATATGAATTTACAAAGGGGGTTGTTAATCATTTTCTTTTTCACCATTGGTTAATTTATGACGGCCGAATCTAATTTCTTATTGGTTAAGAATTATTCAATAACAAACAAACACAGATTGCATTTTTCTGATTGGTTTATTTTGAACGCTCCAATTCATTAACGAAATTAAAGATTAATTTTTCCCAGTTATTTATTATTATACCCTGAACATTCATAGATTCATAACACTTTGTGATAAGTTTTTGTATATTAATTTATATGTACTGCAAGTAATTCATAATAACTATGGAATATTTAACAAACTCAGATCTGAACAATAATTTCTTGATCAATAATAATACAATTAATCATAATCATAACCATAATCATAATAGTAATAATACTATATGCCTTTCACCGACATCATTAAATTTCAATAATGCTTCTTCATATTATTCACCACATTTGATTAATTTCCCACCGGAACAAATCAATACCGAATTCGATCATCATCAACATCAACATCACAATGAGAATGTTAAAGCAAAACTGAATGATAAATTGTTAATCAATACAAAACTTCCAACTTATCATGAAATTAGTAATAATAATAATAATAATAGTGGTGATATTATTAATCCCGTTAATATACATGAAGATAACTTTAATAGTTTAAACATTGTTAATTCCAGTATTAATAATAAAACTGGAAAGAAAACAAGAAACTCTGTGAAAACTCGTAAGTCATATTGTTTTGATTTGAATGTCTAATGTTTATATACATATGCAGTGAAGTGTGAAGTGAGCTAAAGAAGAAGTTGTATTAGTAATGGTTGTGTTAATCTTGAGGCATGATCAAAGGAGTCAAGGAAAAAAACTAGTTGTAGCTTTTCGTCAGAGTTTTGTAATATATTAGCTATGTGATTGAAAAAGTCTCCTAGACGGATATGAAAAACTGTGGAAGAAGATAAAGTGTGACATTTTTAGTGCAAATCTGTTCTAAGAAAGCTGTGCAGAACTAGAATCTATCGGACCTTCACGACTACCTAGTTGTGGTTTTACAGATAATATAACTCAGTCATTTAAGATGTTATCAGATATGGCCGCCCATAATAAAATCCAGTGTGATAAACCCTTTGTAATTTTCTTTCTCTCATGAAATAGTGCTTTTTTCTACTTATTTTCACTCGTTTAATTATATTCTCTTAATCATACTCACCTCCCTTAGTCTATCACTACACAACCTCAGTTTCTCATTGTGTGGTTAGAGTAATCTTTTTAGACAATGGTATTCAAATGTGAAATATAGAACCACAATATATGATGATACTCAATTTAAAAAAATCCTATTTCGATTTAAACTTCATTAGCCATAGATTTAAACCATCATCATAGAAACTTACATTTCGGTGACAATTTAAATGGAGATTGGAAAAATAGAGGTGACACCAACCACTGAGTTAAGGAATTCAACTAGAATATTTGTGTACATTTGGCAAATCAAAATAGTTTTTCTTGAATATTCAACTTTCGGAAGTCACAAAATGCAGTTGATTTCATTCTTGTTACTTCTGGAAAATTGGATCAAATAGTAGTCTGAATTAGAATGACTACTTTAATTGTCTGTGAGAGATGGTCATTGGTAGGACGTACTTCGTCACAATATCATCCAACTACCTAATTTACAAGCGTTTTTGGTTTTTTGTTGTTTATATTATGGACTGCAACTGGTCGGTCAATACTGATACATATGGATAATACGCAGATTATTTCGATATTGTAATTTGATCGCCAACTTATTTTTAAGAAAGTTGGATTTTTGTAGTCCCTAACGAAAACAGCAGGGACAACAGAACAAATTCCGACTCATTGGCGGTTATCAGTTCCACGGACAACGCATTGCATTTTGAAGCCGTACCTACTGGGTTTTGGTCTCGATGTGAACATTTGAATATGGATGCAGGACTATGCAACTGAAGAATCTTAAATATGACGACATGTGTGCACTGAATACCCCAATAAATCACAAAATTACTTTCATGATTTTCACAATTATTCTCAAAGGTTTAAATCATAATGAAATCAGAAGAGAACATTTATAAATGAAGTTGGATATGAATGGGAAATATTGCTTGGATTTTCTTTTGTGAATGATTATTTCGATAGGATTTCTGACTGGTTTTGTGGTCAACTATCAACCGCTGTCGTTCACGGTTGATTAAAATACCGTTGAAAAGGAAGATGTCAAACTTGTCGAAACTTTGAAAACAGAGATAGATAAATAGAAAATGAATATTTGGACGTATTCGATTGATTTTCCCAAATATGGAATTACTGTTTGCTGTGTGAATGTGTGCATGTGAATATTCTACTCAAATACTAGATAATTTCTATAATTACCTACAGTTGACGGGTTACAGTTCATCTTCGTCTTCCTCTGAGATGTGCTTGGGTATTCTTCAATCTACTTTTGCAAAATCGATTCATTCGTGGTGTCGGTGCTTCTTTCATTGTATTGTAGTTATGTAATAATAGTCATCGTCATAATCAACCACAAATATGATCGATATTGAAACTCTGAAGTAACTAGTCCAATGAAAGTGTGTTATGCAAATCTAACTACAATCAACTTGTGACAATGCTATACCATGTTCCATTGAATCAAGTGAGTCATTGTCTAAAAATTGACTTGTTTGAATTCCACTAGTCACAACTTATCAAGGATATACACCAATCAACGATCTCATCCTGTGAGTAATGTAACAAATGTTCTGTGCTTCCTCGTTTCAAATATTGTCAACCTCTATAGAATGAACACAATTTGAAGAGCGAGAGTCTCAATAAACTGACATGGTGAATATATGAGCAAATATCATTGAACATTTCGTCGAATCCAGTTGCCATGATGTTTTGTGTTCTTACTGTTCTTCCTCTAATCTCCAACCTCATGTCATTGTTTAAATAAACAAATTGACCAGTGTTCATCAATTCAGTTTATTTGTTCCTTTTATCGTGTAGATGGACTATGTGAATGTGACAATGTTCGATATCCACAAATTGATTATACATGGATTGAGTGTTTGTCAAGCAACAAATCTGACTCATGCAACATATTTTCCTCCATCAATTAATTTCCAACTTGTTGATATTGTTTACAGACCACCCTCACCCTCCCACTTACTTGATAATCAACATATTGACCACTCACTATTGTTTGAGTGTTGATACTGTTATTGTGTAAAGTGTTCATATGAAAGGAGAGTTAGAAACACACAGTGATGTATACAAGTATCATAATGCAATTGTGATCAAACATTCTGTGTTTACTCAGGAGATTGAAGAGTACGATATTCTCGTGATCTGTTGTCACTTGTTAGATGGTGGTATGGAGTGGTGAATGTTTCTTTGTATGTTGTCACGTGTTGTGTTCAGTGTTGTTGTTCATTCGAGTGTACAACAGTATTTTGCATTATATAATTGTCAGTTTGTTGATCACAAGTCCGAGGTGTATCGAATAAGATATGGAATCAGTTAGTTTGACAGTATCTCACTATCTTATTTATAATGAGTTGAATTGGAATTATGATGCGTTCAGTGGATTTATCATTCTATAAGCGAATACGCACATAAGAGTTTGTCATAATTAGTTAGTGTTTCGTGTGTTTTCAGAGAGTGAAATGAACACGACTGTGGTATTTTTGTTATCTGTAACGGTAGATAGTGAGTGTGACTATAAAAATATTCTAAACAGTGGCTGGTTTGAGTGTGATCGAAACAGCATAATTCAATCCCAATTGATGTCACACAGGTACCAAGAAACCTGGTGTGCACTATATATATATATATATATATATATATATATATATATATATATATATATATATATATATATATATATATATATATATATATATATATATATATATATATATATATATATATATATATATATATATATATATATATAAGCGCTCGCGATAGGCGCTGGGTTCAAATCTCGTGAGGCGGGATCGTGGATTCTCACTACTGAGGAGTCCCATACCAATACGAAACGGCCGTCCAGTGCTTCCAGGTTTTCCATGGTGGTCTAGCTTCAATTGACTCATGATTTCAACCAGTGAAATATAATTTTGTGTTCATTTAATCTAACGAGTATTGAATCTAAGTATTTGATGTTATCTACAACTATCCACCATGCTCATATTAATTCAGGTAAATCACCGGATGTAAAACGTAGATCAAATTCTATAGATCAATCAATTCTTGTAAATGTTTGAAATGAAATCTTCAATAAATAAGAATTATACACTCTACTAGGTAGTGCCTACTAGTTAAATGGATAAGGGAAATGACCGAAAATACGGCATACTTGTTGTATGTGAAGAAACAATAGAGTAACATTAGTCACTCAGATTTATAGAAACAAAGAAATAATAACTACTAAATTAGTAATATAGAGGGTTTTATGGAAGTGATAGAATTTTCGTAGTTTCAATCATGATCTGATATTAGTTATACTAATATGAATAACTTGAAAGCAATGAACAACTGTTTCATCCTAGCATGGGTCTCCTCAGCAAAATAGATCCACGACTTATATCATTCAATCAAGTGTTTGTATTTTCCCGTTATTCATGTGTTAAAGATCCCAAATTATTAGTTTAGATTTTCGGCATATAATGAGTGAATCATTTTGTTGTATTAATTTAGTCATCATTATTTCAATTTAGTTGATTGGCTGAATGCCAACTCAATAGTTCGGATGTTATGCGTTCGCACGAGACCGAAGGTCCTGGGTTTGAAACCCGCGTGTGGAATTGTGGATACGCATCGCTAAGGAGTCTCATATTAGGACGAAACGTCATCCAGTGCTTCCAGGTTTTCAATGGTGGTCTAACATTGATCGGTTTATGATTTCAATGAAATACTATTTATTAAGTTTGATAATGACTAACAATGGTATCCAGGGTGTATGTTTCGTTTTATTTGGGACTTGTAAGTTAGATAGATTTGCCACATCCCATTTTTTGATTGATTTTCCACACTATAACTCGGACCAGGCACATTTTATCGTGTTATCCACTGAGATACTTAGTCGAGCTTCTAAGTTCGGGTTTCAATAAGTACATCAACACTGGCATACAGGAACATCTATTTGACAAATCGTAAACAGAACGAAACTTGTGTCGTCTAATTTATTGATAGTCACCATTCGACTTTACTGAAATCTTTTGAAATTATAATTTAGGCTGACTTGTAAAAGCTTTTTTTCGGATACAAAGAAAACAAATATCCAATGAATTGTAGTTCGACTAATTTATTTTCTGTGTATGTGTGTAGCTATCAAGTGTTCATCATCTTTAGAATAATGTTTTTCCTCAGAGGAAAAACTGACAACTTCATAGTAAGTTTGCTATATGTTTTGCTCAAAATAAATCGCTGAATTCAAGAGTCAATTTGAGCTAGACCAACAATGAAAACCTGGAAACACTGAACGGCAGTTTCGTCCTAATGTGGGACTTCTGAGTAGTGCGCATCCACGATCCCGCACTCAGGAATCGAACTCTTAACCTCTAGACCACTGAGCCGGCCGACATCCAACGGTGTTAATGTCTAACTTCAATTGATCAATGATCTCGCACAACCCTTCATCTATTGTCTGTCGGTTCAATACCAACTCAATGGTCTAGAGGTTAGGAGTTCGTGGATGTGCACTGCTCAGGATTCCCAGGCTAGGGC